AGGTTATAGAAATCGACTTTTCTGACCCGCAGGCCTAGGGAGGTAAAGGTGCCGCAGACAGACTTGCGGCAAAATGTAAAGGCCACGTATGGGTCCACATAAACGAAGGCAACGACAGGAAGTCAGTTCCAAGAAGCTCTTCTTTCCCAAAGAGTCATCGAAGGAGTGAGAGTAGTTGCAATTGACAGAATGGAGGATTTCGTCATTGATGAGGCAAGGAAGATTCCCGGTATCAGCAAGCTCAAAAATTTTAAGTCAACCCCGAAAGCATATAGAAATTATAGCTTAGCCTACCTATGGAATCGGGAGTGGGAAAGATATCAGATTAGACAAGCAATCTTCCGTTAGGTGTTAGTGAGCTACATACAGTGTTGACAAGTGGCATATTTTTCATATGTTGCAATCTCCTTTGCCACCTGTCCGCGCGCAAGTCCCCCGTCCATACTCGACCACACCCGTGTTCGTGGGTGTGTCCACCCGACCGTCTGACAGTGCATCCATCGATTTTTCTTTCTCTTGTCGAGCATGTGTTTGTTAATTGATCGCTTCCTTCCTGCTTACAGTTCCTCCTTTTTTCCCTCTCGGTTAGATCCGTTGACCAGTCTCACTTTAGTCAATTTACAATTGACATAGCAATATTTTTTTAAAATGCATGGTCTTTGTCGTACCGAATTTTCTTTGCAAAATCTCATATAAAAAATACCAGAATTAAACTTTGTCTTCTTTACGGAATCTTTTGATGACCACAAAATCATTCTATTTTCAGAGTGTAGTTATCGCTGGATGGGGTCAACTTTTTCCACAGGTGGTTTTAAATCGTTCAGCAAACAGCAACCCACGCAGACGGAGTCGGAGATCACAGAGAAACCTGAAATCTCTAAGACGCGTGAAGAGGTTACTGGTGATGAAACAGCAGCATTTGCCTGCCCTCGAGACGGGTGCGTGAGAGTTTTTCAAAGGCATTCTGCCTTAGAGAAACACCTGTCCTCAGAAAAATGCACAAAGTCTTTAGAAGAGAGATTTTTGCAAGACCTGGCCAAGATCGCATATAAATCTGCATTGGAAGAAGATGTGGGAACTATACCAACTCTGCAACCAGTTCCAGGAAGTGAACGTCGAACTGATTGCTGTAATAAGGAAGACTGGGCTCTTAAGTCAACCAAGAAGGCCTACAGGCTTAGTGAGAAGCAAAAGGCATACCTTGATGCCAAATTCAATATTGGCCAAACGTCAGGACCT